CTGAACAGATTATTATCACTCTAAAATGTTTCCTTTCTATAGGAATTCCTCAAGAATTTGTGAGGCAGAGTTGCATTTGCCTGTAGCACACACACAAATGTTTAAAAACAAGCCATGTGAATAACAAAGTAAATTTGTGTAAAGATTTGCATGACACCACTTTAAAGTAACTTTTATAGTAATGTGAAATTTTAAAATCATTATTATACATACTGTATTTCATTCCTTCACTGTTCTGTAAAGTTGCTCCAACAGCAGCTGCTGTGGTCCTGTCAACCTTCATCTGCTTCATCTTCATCCTTTATCTGCTCAACATGTCAAAAAAAAAAAAACAACCTTGTAATGGTGGTTGCAATGTGTCAAAATGGTAGTCCATTCCATGATTACTTATATTTCTTACAATACCTCCTAACAAATGAGCATACACTTGATTCTTAGTGCAAAAGCTGAGATTAGTTTTCCACTTCTTAAGAGGCCCATAAGTTACAAGAGACCATCAGTGCCCTGGAGAGATTTTCCAAGAGGCTGAGCAGATCCAGCCTTTTCCAGGTTTTGAAGGACATGACCCACAGAAGTCTCCCTTCAGTATGTAACAACACAGTCTTTACTACTTGCAAGAATTTTTATAACACAGCATGAAGTCTTGCTGCAGAAAGAGTTATGTTGTGATTCACTGACCAATATAAACACCATGTGATTGGAATGAGACATTACAAAAAAAAAAAAATTCCCTCAATATTTATTGAAAACAGAACACTTAGTATCTGCTGATTAGGCACTTGCGGGACTTGTGGTCACATTGCTGATTATTTCAGTGCTTATACAGATCCAGATCTAACAATCCAGCTAAAAAGACAGCTCATAGCTTTAAAGAGCAATGGATTCAAAGCAATGTAAGTAAGATATGGTAATTTTCTCACTCTTAACAAATATATTAAATACCATATGGAAAATAGCTCTTTACCATGGAATTTTCATATGTATGACCCCATGTTACATTATCACATACATTTTATTTTACTGTCTAGCTCTTTAGTACCATTACAAAGCTTGTATTTCCCTATTGGGCATAACAGAGCACTGGTAAAACCCAGGAAGTTCTACTTTTTCTTTCATTCCATATGTATTGCAAAGTCTGAAGTGACAATATCTCTTCTGAATGACATGTGAAGTAGATCATGAGTGGCATCCCTGGGTGCTTTGGTAAAAGTAACTGCAGTGCTTCATCTAGATTCATTTGGATAATTACATGGCCCTAATGTGAATTTAGCCTGTTAGCTTCTACTGTAAGAGTTCTTGATCAATTCAGCCTGCCAGCCTTTTCACATTTTTCCCCTTTCAGCAGTTACTGAATTTCAATGGTAGTTGAAATAAAAATTTCTCTTTGGGGATTCAAGTGCACAGAGGATTGCGACAGGGAAATCTGCTATTTTAAAGTTGTGTCAAGCAGGATGAACCTGGATTTATTTAAGAAAAACATCAAAAATGTGTTACTCTCATGATTCTTTGCACCTTAGATTTTTGCAGTTTAAAATACAGCTTTACCAGGATGCCTACTTTATATATTTAATAGCATCACAGAATCATAGAAAGGTTTGGGTTAAAAGAAACATTAAAAATCATCTAGTTCTAAGCTGCCTGCCATAGGCAGGGATGACACCCACTAGATCAGATTGCTCAAAGCTCCATCCAGTCTGCCTTGAACACTTCCAGGGATGAGGCATCCACAACTTCTCAGGGCAACCTGTTCCAGTGTTTCACAACCTGCTCTCTCAGTTTAAAGCCATTCCCTCTTGTTCTGTGACTACATGTCCTTGTCAATAATCCCTCACAGCTCTCTTGTAAGCCTGCTTTACGTACTGGAAAGCCACAATAAGGTGTCCCTGGAGGCTTCTCTTCTCCAGGATGAAAAAGCCCCGCTGTCTCTAGAGGAGAGGTTCTCCAGCCCTGTGATCATCTTGCTGTCCCTCCTCTGGACCCACTCCAACAGCTGTGTGCCCTTTTCATACTGAGGGCCTCAGAGCTGCACGGTGCACTGCAGGCAGAAGGGCAGAACACCCTCTCTCGACCTGCAGGCCAAGCTGCTTTGGATGCAGCCCAGGACGTGAATCAAGTAATTATTCTGCCACCACCTTCCAAAATACTGAGGAAGGAGTCAGTATCAGTGTGAAAGAGTTTATGGCTTTTCTCTCGGGCGTCCTGCCGCACTGGGGCGCGGCCGGGCGGGGGCAGGCGGGTGGCGGTGCTGTCCCCGCGCTGCCCCCGCTGCCCGGCCTGGCCAGGAGATGTCGCTGTGCCCCGCGGAGCCGCCGCTGCGCGCTCCCGGCCCGCCGTGCCCGTGCATCCCGGCGCCGCCCTGGAAAACCGGGAGAGACGGACACCGGGAACACACAGCGAGGGGACGGCGTGGGCTGCCCAGCTGCTGCTTCGGAAGAACAGCTCTGCAGTGCTTTCCCAGGGCAGCCGGCGGGCTCCTACCCGCTGTGCAACACGGAGGCCTTCGCGGGCACGATAAAATCGGAAACAAAACCTGAGGCACAGAGCTGATGATGTAGAACATCGGTCCTGCTGCTGTCGGATCAGCTGCGAAGGTTTAAAAATACCACGGCAACCAATTGTTATTAAAACGTATTGCTGGAGCGAATCCTATAGGTATATGAAGAGTACAGCACCTGAGCATCAGAGGTACCTCAGTGTTGCAGCACTGCAGCCGTGTTTAAATTTGAAAGCCGAAAATGAAGGATGTTTGCGTGTTCCACTTGGCATATTCCCCATGTTGGTAACAAAGAGATAAGAAGCACTGTGCTAATTCGTGAGCCCACAGGTGACAAACTGAGAGAAGGGACTGAACAGAGGAGAGGGCAGGACAGGAAAGCAGAAATAGGCTTCTTGGCTTCATTATCACAGACTTTTTAATTTCTTGTCCTACAGAGTAGAAAGAGATTCTATAACCTTCTGCAGCATTTTACATACAATATGAATTTAGTGCATTCAAAGCATCTTTTGTGCTAATTAAACCAGACAGTTTCAAGTATGCTTAACACAGTCATTTGAAAGACTAACACAGCTGTTCCTGGGAATAGATACAGCTGTCCCAGTGTGACTTGCAGTGAGATGGTGACTTCTGTTTTCATTTGAAGTGCAACTATGGGCAAGTGTATCTATTTCCAGAGATAATGGGAATAAATGAAACGAAATTTAAAAGTGATATTCTTGTACAGTACATTTATTAATGAAGCACAAAACTGAAGTAAAATAAGTCAGGCTATCATCACAGAATTAATTAGGGACAGCAATAGCTTTCAGTAAAATCCGTAAAAGCATAATATCACAAACAGCCAGGCATACTGCTTCACTTTAGGGTTAAATTTTCTTCATCAAGTGAATCATTTGCTAGCAAAAGAGAAAACAGCTTCAGAACAGATAACAGGCAGTGCTCAAGGTTGGTTTTATCACTATTTTAGTCAGTCATGCATGCAGAATTGCATTTTTAAATTATTTCTGGAGGACAGTTTACAGGAGAAGAGCCAATAGTTAAATAAAGTAGCCTAACTCTCCTTACTCACAATACTCGTCTCTCACAATACTAAATTAAACAGTTGGTCATTAATGTAAGTTATCTTGAACTTTTGAAAATTTCATTACCTTCCAATGCAACCTTTCTAAGTTTAAAATAAGATGTCAGCCTTAAAGCTTTAATTACACATACATCTGGTAATCCTGCCCTGCTATTAATGCAATAAAGAAATCAATATCTGATAAGTATCAAAGTTTAATTACCTCTTTCTTCAATACTCCATTAGCAACCAAAGATCGCATATTAACTATGGTAGTGGAACATCTAAGGACAGGAGAGAGATAGAAATCTGAACAACAATAGCTAAACAAGAAGGAATAAAAGTATCTTACTTGATTATTTCTAGCACTAGGGCAACTGTTCCTACACAAACAAATCAAATAAAAAAATCCTCACCATCAGTTGCCGTAACACATTCTGCTTTACATTACCAAGCTCAGCTAAAGCAATTTTCTAGCAAACATACTAACATTTAGAAATTATTTTCCCTCTTTATTGCACTTTTCTCTTAGCTCTTGCTAAAAAAAACCTGTTGACCTTTGTAGGCATTATCTGCCCTGCAATCATAGAGTAGCAAGATTACAAGCCAGAGGTTGTAGAAGGTCCTTCTCTGGAGGTATTTGAAAGCCACCTGCATGTGATCCTGTGCAACCTCTTCTAGGTGAATCTGATTTAACAGGGGGGTTGGTCTAGATGATCTCTTCCATCATCAGAGGTCACTTCCATTCCCAAACATTTTGTGATTCCATAATTACACCTCAGAAAGCCTTAGAAGTCATCAGTCCTGCTTTGCAGACACATGCAGTAGGTGAAATCACAGGTTCAAGTTGTTAAGCAACAGAAGATGAAGATTACTGGGACAATGTGATAGCATTAAGGATTCAGAATTGTCTTTACTATGCTGCTGGGGGAAAATCTACCCTCTTCTGGAAGCTCTGAAACATGAGCTTCATTGTAGTCTCTCTGCACTCTTGTGTCTGACTCCTGACATGCTGGAGACGTCTCTGCTGTGTTTGTAGGTCACCAAAATTGCAGATTCAGCCCGTCAGGCTCCCCCTTTGTGGGCAGAGATGGTTTCCTCTTCCCACCAATAACATGGTGTCCTGGAGTGACATGCTCAAATTTTACCTATGCATAGCTTCTCCATAAGTGTCCAGTGCCCTTGCTAACTTTACAGTTTAGCTAACCTGAAATCTGCTCAATTCCTGCTACCAAGGTAATTAAACCTCTTCCCTCACTAGCTCCATTTCAATTAGAAGAAATACAGAGTTTGTATTTATTGCCACATATCCCTTGGAAAAACAAAGGTATTGAACTTCCATTTAAATAAAAAAATAATTCACATTATTTGTGTACTAATTATTCATAATTATAAACAGCACAATATTGCAGTAAGATGTGGTTTAAAATTTTGCCTTCACTACTCCTGTATGAAAGCTGTGCATGTGTTGAAGCCACTCAAGACTGCAGTGCTATAAATAGTGCTCTATTGTTAGTGGAGAAAAGATGAAATAGGTCTCACAGCACTGGAACACTGGACACTGTATTAAATGTTAAGCTCTGCCTGTTCTAAAAGTGAAAGGCTACATCAACGGATAGACTGGTCTGTGGGTAAGACACGCAGCTGGGAAGAGCTCAGTCTGACTCTGCAGCTTCCCGACACAGCAGGAGCAGCAGCTGATCCTTCTGCCTCAGCAATGGCAGAAGCTGTCATAAGACACTGGGTGGAAACTCCTGTACGCTACCAGGAGCAGTTTGCTGACCAAGAGCTGGAAGCACACAAACTGAACCACCTTTTATATGCTTTGCCGGGGCCTGCTACCACTGCACTGAATGACCAAAGGTGTGCCAGAGAAAGCATGGCTGGGACTGGGGAGAGCAGCCAAGAGGAGGAAAACACACATTTTCGGGTCTTGCTGGACGTTGTGCAGTTCCGCCCTGAAGATATCATTATCCAGACTTTCGAAGGCTGGCTCCTGATTAAAGCTCAGCACGGACCCAGGATGGATGAACATGGTTTCATATCCAGAAGTTTCATCAGACAATACAAATTACCTGATGGAGTGGAGAACAAAGACTTGTCTGCACTTTTCTGCCACGATGGCATTTTGGTTGTTGAAATGAAGAACTCAGTGGAAAAGAATTAGAACCATGTCTGTAGTTATCGGTGAGATAAAATCATTCTTACTGTAACAAAATAATATCAGTCATGCAATGCTGTAGAAAGCATGTAGCAGAATTTATTAAAGCACAGGAAATTCTTTGTATATATTCTTCTGTATGCTGAGTTTACTGTTTGATGTGAAATGTTATACTGCTTGCCTCTAGCTACACATAGGTTGAAAACCCAGGCTGTTTGAACAGTAGCAAACTTGGGCTAGTCTCTCCAGGAGGAAAAAAAAAATCTATTTGATAACATATTGAAAATAGAGCACAGTTTTGAGTTAAGTAACAAGAATTGTACTTCTAAGGAATAAGCATTTGTCATACATAGTCATAAACACTGAAGAGGGAACAGACAAGCTGTGAATATTATTGAAATTTATGTATCAAAAAAAATCAGTTTTCTAATTTTTGAGATTAAATTCTTCTCTCTGGAAAAGCACACAAAGTGAAAGACACTATCAAGAGAAAAATCCCTATTTCCGTAGTTAAAGGTTCTATAACAAAAAAATCTCAAGAAGTTACATTTTAGAAGTGTGTTGCATGTTTTAAACTATAAGAAAAAATAATTCATTTCCTTGATTTTATTTTCTTGTAAACACAACAGATAGAAATTATACTTCTGTCAAACTAATTTGAAAGAAAACCTTTCAAGACATTTTAGAAAATTGGTTTTGTTTAATGTAACAACTGAAGAAAAAATTTTTGCTTACAAAAGCACCAAATTCTTCTTTGTGAAACCTCAGCAATAAAAATGCATTGCCCTTACACAAATGTCTTTTTTCTTAAACATTTTAGGTAGTCTTGTTATTTAATCAGATGAATATTTAATTGTCCATGTTGCTTGACAATTTAGGCTGAAATCCCACAACTCTGTCTTCAAGAGCCAAATTTTTCTGCCAATGGTAATTCCCCTCTCCCCATAGGAACACAGGCTCTACATAAATCTAATTTTAAATACAGGGGTTCCTCACTGCAGACACAGCTTTAGTTTCTGTTCCAGTGTCTCACATTTCATGAGAGTGGCAGAGATGAAAAAATAACCACCTTCTATATCCGTATGTGGTCTTCTCAATATTAAAAAGAAATAATGCTATGGGTTTGTAAATACTCACACATTTGAGGGTAACTGCATCTGCAAGTCGAATTGCCTCCTTTTATGTGTACTGGAGACAACTATGACTGATGTGCTATGAATAGTAAAGGAATGCAGAATGGAAAGTGCCAAGTTAAATACAGACACTTCATCATAGCCATCTGCTGTTTGGACAAATCAAAAACATATTCAAATGAAACTGAATACAAATACAATTTTAAGAATACAAGAAAATTATGATGAACAAAACCTGGGCTCTCACTGGCTGAAGCTAGAGAGTTATTTTAGTTTCAAATGAAAATCCTAAACTCATATGTCTGCACATACCCATTTATTACAAAGATTTACATTAGACTTGTTTTTTAGACTTCAAGGTATTTGAAGCAATTTATTTTAGAAAAGTGGGCAGCACAATTCTTGTATTTTACCTATTAATTGTGCAAATTTGTGCAAGAAAGGCACAATAAAGTCTGAATTGTAAATTTCCATCATATGCAATTATATTTTTAATATACCAGAAGACAAGAGTGTAATATTTTCTAACAAATTAAACCAAATATAAAGCCTGCATTTCCACTCAACCCCACACTTTTCCCTCATATTGTCTGTGTTCAATTTGCATATTGGTTTAAGATCAAATAGAATATCAAATCCAGATTTCTATGTCTAGGAGCTTCATCATACAGCAATCTGGTAGAAGATGTAACATGGATTTAAGAAATTGAATTCTAGATACAGGTCTGGATTTAACCTTTACAGGCCAGATTTATAAAAGCTGTACAAGCTTAAACCTGTGGTTTCTACACTACCTTATGGCGCAACTATTGGGACAGTGTTCAGGATCAGAAGTTAGCAATCTACTTTGATAGTTTTTGTTTACAGAGAGGTTTGTAAATTTTACCATTTAAGGTACAAGTTACTATAAAACTATAAACTTACAAGTTTTTATAATAACTGTTCTAGCTATGATTGCAGTGATGATATTCATAGCCCTACAGACAAGAAAGATGTTCCAAAAGAACATAACTGATTTAATTATTTCAAATTAGATCATGGTTAAGCTACTGGAAACTTGGCAAGGAATTAGACCGTACAGCCAAAATCATATCATCTGTTCTATATATATTAATGCCATAGTTACACACAGGCCTACTTGTGTATACAGGCCTGCCTCACAAAACTGGATGGAGATTGTGATGTCTGACTGTTCTGAATTGCAGGTCTCTCTGCACCATTCTGTGCCCAAGTTTGTACTTGCTCATAATGCCATCAGTCAGAAATCACTGGAACACCTTGACCCAGACATGACACACATGTACCCAGCCAAATTTTACCTTCTTTTTTAGACAGACCTTTACAAAAGCCTACATCCATGCTGCTTGGTAAATGGGAACTTCCCCTAACCTGGAACCCGAGTGTTCATGTAACAGTGACCACATTGCAGTATGAACCTGCCACTGAATTCCTGCACTTTAGCACTAAGAACAGTATAGGAAAATGTTTCCCTCCTTTTTTTCAGTGATGATTTATCAAAAGATCTTGGATGGATGGTTTTTATGTGTTTACCAGAACAACCTCAAAGAACTTGGCAGACTGTTTCTGAATAATCTGGAAAGAGCTGTTCTCACATATTTCATATGATATTTTATAATCTGATTAGAACTGAATGTGAATGTCACATAGAAAGGCGCTAATATTGCTCATGGGCAGCAGACTGAGATATTAATCAAGGGCAAAGGATTTCAGAACAGCTACAGCTTAAGACATGCTGATGTGGTTAAATTAGGAACCGTGAAATTTGCTGTCTATAAAATTCTAGCCCAGAATAAGCGATAAGCCTGTGCAAGCCTTGCAGACCAAGTGTTACCAAGCCTTCTCAACTTTACCAAGTTCCCAACAGTGAGGGATTACCTTTGTAATTGATCAAACTGCTCCTCCAAATGGATAAAGATGATTTCATACATGAATCTAAGCACTGTGAAAAATGTCTTCATGGAGATTAAAATGTATCAATATGGCAGTAGTTTCTGAAAACAAGGTAAAAAAATAAGTTTCCCTAAGATTCTTGTGGGCAAAAAGCTCAAAAATGCCTTTCATTGCCTTGCTGCCTTTTTATAGTTTCTGCTGCACTCAGGGCATTTGAGATGTCTCTACAGTGTCCAGTACTGGTAATACAGTGAACCAAAGCTGACATGATACCCACCAGTCACTCATTAACAACTCTGCTGCAGCACTGGAAAAGAGGAATCTCAGGGGTGTCATGGCGGCAACACTCCCACCTAGAGGGGAAGGTCTAACATTTCATACTTACTTCATAGCCAGGAATCAAAACATCCTTTTTTAATCTGAGTAAAAGTACAAGACTGGTTTATAAAGTGAGCAGAAATATTTCTGAAAATGTTAGGTACGCCTTCTGTTGTTTGAAAGACATGCAGACCTCTGTCTTGCCGACCACCAGAGACAGTGGCTGGCCCCTCTCACCCACGGGACAGCAGCTCAATAGCCCTATACTGTGAACACAGAAGTCTAAAGAGTTACACCAGTACACTACATTGGAGTAGTAAGCTGGCCCCATTTATGCTAACTCTGGAGCCAGAAGTACTGTCCTCTCAGCTCAGGTCCAGAAAGCTCAGACTGTCTACTGCTGTACTCAGGCTGAAAAGTTACTTTTTATTAAAAGACTTGGACATAAAGAGAGAGAGGAGAAATATGGCACTCCAGCTCAGGACTCTCCATTCAGGTTAGTGCTAGAGTGGAGATTTTTGCTGTCTGTGCCATGGTGGGCTGCATTTTCACCACAAATCCCATCAATCTGCTTTAAAAGCAGGGTTTTTAACCCTCTTTCACCACATGGTAATACTGCTGATGCCAGCCTTTTCAAGGGAAAGTATGTATAGCAGTAGTGTGCACGAACAGAATTGGCGCAAATAGAGAATAATCTGCAGTCACTGTCATGCTCCTAGGTGTGTTTACTGTGCTTTGGGCTGACCCTGACCGCAGTGAGCACTGGTAATGAAGGATGCCACTGCTAAGCTCTGCTACATAGCACAGAAGAAGCAGGTCTGTGCATGAAGAGGAGACAGAAGACTGTAGAACCAGGGTAGGTAGGCCTTGGCACACAGAGAGCAAGGAAGCCCACCAGAGGTGGCAAGGATGCCAGGATGGCAGGAAAAACACTCCATGTGGTTCAGATTATATGCAATACACATGTATATATATACATACATGACACTGCTCTTGGCCGCACCGGAGCTCTGGGCTAGCTCTACGGTGCCACTCCGGCACAGGCAGTCACCAGGAGTGGGGAACTGCAGGGGAAAGGCGATCCCACTGCAGAACCTTCAGAGCACTGAATCCTGCTGGGCTCTGCCAAATCAGGTGTCATGGGTGGTGGCAAAAGGATGGAGGAGACTCACTCGGCTGTACTTCCCAGGAACAGGTTTATTCAAGGGAGGGGATAAGCACAAGGGTCTGGGCTGGGAGAAATCAGGACCGAAGAGAGCCCTGAGCACCTCTGTGCACTGGCTTTTATCTCAGGGGCGGGCACAGTCCAGGGTCCAATTGGAGCTCACGGAGGGAGGGGTAAGGGGAGGAGGTTACAATGTCAGGGACCAATGGGGATACAAAGAAGGCGGGAACATAACAACCAAGGAAGGGATAACATCGAGGAAGGGATGATGTACATGGAAGGAGCAGGAAGGAGAGGTGGGGTTTACAGTGATGGATGGGGAGATGGGGCAGGGTAAAGGTGACTGATGAGGAACATTCAGGAAAACTGGGAGGGGTTTGTATAACAGACAACTGGGGCTAAACCATTACAATCAACAGGGGGAAACAAGAATGTACCAACAAGTTTTTAACAAATTCTTAACAAAATTTAAAAAATTAACTACAACACATATATAATCATGGTTTAACGCCAGCTGCCAACTGAGCCCCAGCCACCCAGTCACTCCCCTGCTCTGGGGTGGGTGAGAGAATAGAAGGAGTAAAAGTGTACTCATAGGTTGCAATACAGACAGCTTAGAAGGAAAGGTAAAAACTGCATGCACAAGCAAAGCAAAAGGGACTAATTGACCACTTTTCATGGGTAGGCAGGTGCTCAGCCACCCCCAGGATAGCAGGCCTCCAATACATATAATGGTGAGCTGGGAAGACAAATGCCATCATTCCAAATGTCCCTTTCCTCCTCCTTCTTCCCCTGCCTTTATGTGCTGAGTTTAATGCCATGTAGGATGGAAAATCCCTGTAATCACTTGGATGCAACACCCTCTGCTGTGTCTCCTCCCAACTCCTTGTAACCCTTCCCAGCCTCCTCACTGGTGGGACACAGTGATGACCAGAAAAGGCCTTGACACGGTGTGAATACTGCTCAGGGAGAGCTAAAACATCCCTGTGTTACCATCACTGTTTTCAGCAAATCCACACCACAACCCCTTCGCTGTCAAGAAAATACACTCAATCCCAAGTCAAAACCAGTAGATATATATGACATTTGAAGACATACTTAAACCTTCTGCAATTTTTTTTATTTTTTTTTGTAAAAAAAGCATTTTTAGGGACTGAGAAAGATATTTCAAAATTACTTTAAATATTTTTGATTGTTAATAGAAAAGGAACACATACATGGACTGAATCCTTGGTATGCTAGGCTGAAAGAGTATCTTCAGCTACCATTATCAGCTACATTTCTTTCCAATTGCACATCTCTTCAATTTTCTTATCTATTAATTGATGAATTACATTCCATCATGTAAGCAGATAGCATGTCAGAATCTCCAAAAGTTTCATTTGTTCTCAGCAGAGTTGGATGACATGGGGATGAAAGTGGGAGTGCCCTACCTGAACTAGCTACCCCAAAATTTCTAGTCAAGTCCTCATCAATTCAAACTGGCTTACTGAATCAGTATAAACGAA